AGACACATGGAAAAAGTATCCCAAGAATCAGGAAGACATTCTAGAAACTTTGTTAAGGTTTCAGAGTTAGAGYHYTCCYTKCCSACARCCCTTAGATCAATAATTAAGCAATTAAATCTTTGATGTACTTCAGACAGTGTCTCGGTCTTTCCACAGAGAAAGCTTTCATACTGTCTTACTATTGCATTTCATTTGCATGTGTGTTATGTTTTGTTGCTTATTTATGATTTTGGGACTGATTACCATTGCATTTCATTTGCATCCTCAAAGGTTCATATAAGTATGTAAAGTTTGTCCACCGAAGGTTTATTCCACATTTGTTGTTACCGCCATGACTCGTTTTCCCCATCAAATAGATGTAACTCGCAATCAACTGATAGTTCGTTCGAAGAGCTCATAATCGATAAACTAAAGTACGATATTTTATTTTAGATATGCATATTGTGTAAGAAATCTCAGTGTCATAGTATTTATGGAAAAAAACATTGATAAAGTTATTTTATTTTGAATTATATGATTGATCAAAATGAGGGTTTCTAGTGGAATCAGTGAATGATGCTACATGGTTAAATGCATGGAGACAAAGGAGTTGTAATACCTATATGAAATAATACACTAGCTCTTCACCTACATTCAAATAATAATACTGTTTCTTGCTCTTTTCTCATTTCAAACCAATAATATTAGTAATCAACATTTGTAAATAATATATATAATTTGTTTGGCACCCGTATAAGTTGTTTATCCAAACACACAAAGATATTTATTACCAATTTCATCTCAAAACAAGTCAATAAATTGTTTTTATAAACAATTTCAAACACCTCTGTAATCATTATTTTTAGTACTTATTCGTGTCATTCGATGATTGAAATTGAGTGATGACATGTCCCCCTATTTTTGATGTATTTAAAGTGTCTGTCTACTTTTTCAAAAAGTTACCTATATTTTTTTGCCCTAAAAATCTTTGTTTTAAGCAACGTGGCTTAATTGATGAGACTAAATTAGCAAACCATTTTACTTTTTTTTTTTATTAACCTGAATATATAACCCGTTATACGAATCGATTAATCTTACGACGACTACCCTTTTTATAGGTAGTCCGAAATTACCGTATTTAAACTCTCTATGACAACAAGAGGATTTTTATGTACCCCGAAATCACGGTATTTAAATCTCTATGACAACATGAGAATTTTTATTTCTCTTTAAATTCGAACATATAACTAGTTTTACCTTTATATAACACGTATTTAAATAAATTAAAAAACCTTTTTCTGGATGTGACCGTGGCTCCGTGTTTGTATTTTGAATTAATTAATGAGAAAAAAATATATATGAATAATATATGATTTAGAGTGTTGAAGTGGTAATGTGGTCCAAAGAATAGATAAATAGGTGTATAAACCAACAACCACTATCCGCCACCTTATTTATTTTTATATTCACGTAAAAAAAACATGACAATGGCTTTTTATTTTATATCACAAGATTTTGCCCATATTATTTTAAAATATATAATATTTAAAAAAAATCTAAAAAATCCAATGGACTTTAATATTTGGAATGACTAAATCATTAGATAATTTTTTGGAACAAATAAGTTTTTAAGCATTCCAAAACCTGTTAAATAATTACTTGGACTTTCTAAAACATATTTTTTTAACAGGTTTACTTTTATGAGTTTTTATTATGAGAGATTGAATATATTAATACATTATATATGTTCATTGGATTTCTCAACTATTTAAAGTTCATTTTAAATATAAAAAATCTAAAATATAATTACAACTTATTAAAGCTCCATATCTGAATTCGTGTAACTAACTGCATATAAACATCTCATTTTAAATATAAAAAATCTAAAATATAATTAGGATAATCATTGAGTTCTAACAGAATACTTAATTATTATATTTATAAAATTTAAT